AGCCCATCTGCTTTTCAGAGAAGAGCTCCAAGTCTGAGGTAGGGTCAGAGCCCACTCAACTGTAGGGGCTGAACCTGGAGGAAGCTGAGGCCCAGAGAGGGGCCAGAATCCAGTCAGTGGCAAGGCTGCGGCTTGAAGCTTCTCTCCCTGCTCTCTCCCTGCCTCACTCCCTCTGGCCCTATCAGACTAGATCTGCTGGCTTTCTTCTATCAGATGTGGAACTGGGTGGTTGCAACTGGCCTCTGGGACCCCTGTAGGGTAAGATGGAGCTTAATTTTGCCTTGGGTACAGGAGCCCAACGTCCTTTGATATGAGGGGGTGGGGGGAGGAAGAATACTAGACGCTTTACATCTTCTATATTTGATCTTCCTTCACAAGGACCCTGGGAGACACAGACCTACACTCCCATTTTATAAATGAGGAAACAACCTCTGAAAGGAGATAAATATGCCCAAGATTGCCCAGATGCTGCATGGTATGGTGAGCTTTAACCTGGTCTAGTTTGAAAGCCCATACTCTCTCTTCCTTTGTCCCATCCCATACCCAGAAGGATATTTCTGTGGAGAAACTCAGGGTCCCCAGTCTTGACTGATTGCCAGTAGGCCACCCATCACCACCTTCTGTGGTGATGTGCCTTCTAACACTTGGGGCCAATGTTCTGTGTAGCCAGGCTCCATCATAATTTCCCAATAAGTCATGTCCATTGAACCAGTGAGGCACTCACCCTGTACTGCTCACCTGTTAGTGAGAAACTTCCATATTGTTTAAGCCACTATAATTGGCTTTGCTGATTCCAACAGCTTAGACTCAACCCTACCTAAGTATTTTATGTACTAATGTGCATAATTAATCTCAAAGTAGGGTACATATCATGCAGCATTTTTCAAGTACGTATGATCTTAATACCTATTTTTCACAACAGGTTAGGAATGTGTTCCTTAAAAGTATTGAAAAAACTCTTTTCAACATACCCAGAGCCCCAAGCTGCGACATGACCCACAGCTTGCTTGTCTCCAGTTATTCATCTAACAGAGGTTTATAAAATATAAACTACCCTCACCCCAACAATTCCCTAAAGGAATTCGCTTTTTTTTTTAAAAGCATTTTTTTAAATGTTTATTTATTGTTGAGAGAGACAGAGTGTGAGCAGGGGAGGGGCAGAGAGAGAGGGAGACACAGAATCTGAAGCAGGCTCCAGGCTCTGAGCTATCAGCATAGAGACCAACACAGGGCTCGAATCCACGAACTGTGAGATCATGACCTGAGCGAAAGTTGGACATTTAACCACCTGAGCCACATAGGTGCCCCAAGAATTCACTTCTTTTCCCCAAACCACTGACCCTACCCTCACAACAGCCCAAAAAACCAGATACCCTGCACTTCTAACTTTGGGAGTCCCGGTTCCAAGAGACCATAAAGAAAGAGCTGACAAATGCAGATAGGTCCACAATTCTGGAAGAGGCTACTAATAAAAATGACAGTGACAATGAACAGCCACTGGTATCCTGATGAAAAAGATTTATCCAAAGCAAATAAAGGTCCCAAACGTGAATAAGAAACAGTTCCACATAATGGAGAAGTTATGTTTAGACAACAAGCCAAGGGTTTGTTTGATTAAAAAAGAAAATATTCCCACAACTACCATCATACTTAATGGCAAAAGACCATCAGCTTTTCCTCCAAGATCAATAACAAGACTAGGTGTGCCTTCTCACCACTTATTTTCAGCATTGTGCTGGGAGTTCTAGCCAGGGCAATAAGGCAACAGAAAGAATGGAAGATGCATTCAGACTGAAAAAGAAGTGAAACTATTTCTATTTGCAAATGGCATGATTTTGTATACAAAATCCGCACACAAAAAACTACTCAAACTAATAAACAGTTACAGCAAGGCTGCAGGATACAAAATCAGTATGCAAAATCAAGTGTATTCTGTACAATAACAAAAACAATCTAAAAAAATTATGGAATAAAACAATTCTCAAATGTTTTCTTACGTTGTCATCAGAATGAATAAAATACTTAGGAATAAATTTGACCCAAAAAGGTGCAAAATTCATACAGTGAAAACTACAAAGCAGTTGAAAGAGATTAAGAAGACCTAAATAAATTGAAAGCTATTTCACATTCATGAATTAGAAGGAAGACATAATGTTGCTAAGATGGCAACCCAAACTGATCTAGAAATTCAGTGCAATCTCTAGGAAAATCCTAGCTGCCTTTTTTTATAGAAATTGACAAGCTGATCCTGAAATTCACGTAAAAATGCAACAAATCCAGAACAGCCAGTATAATCTTGCAGAAGAACAAAGTTGGAGGACACACACGTTCTGATTTCAAAATCTACTACAAAGCTACAGTAATGTAGTCTGTGTAGTACTAAAATAAGGGTAAACATATAGATCACTGGAAGAGAACTGGGAGTCCATCAATCAACCCATACTGATTTTCAACGAGGGAGCCAATACAATTCAACGAGGAAAAAATAGTCTTTTCAACAAATAGTGCAATGACAACCGGATGTTTATACGTAAAAGAGTGAAGTTGGACCTCAGCTCACATCATATACAAAAATTAGCTCAAAGTCTTCAAAGACTTAAATGTAAGACTTGTATAATGTAAGAGTTGTAAAAAATTATGCAACTCCTAAAAAAAACCATGAGTAACTCTGTGACCTTGAATTAGGCAATAATTTCTTAGATATGACACCACAAGCACAAGTGACAAAAGAAAAAATAAATTATGTGTCATCAAATTTAGAACTTTGGAGCTTCAAAGGACACACAAAAAAGGTGAAAACATGATTTACAAAATAGGAAAAAATATTTGCAAATCATATATCTGATAAGGGACCTGTATACAGAATACATAGAAAATAGAAAACTCCTACAACTCAATAATAATACAGACAACCTAATTTAAAAGTGGGCAAATGAGGGGAGCTTGGATGGCTCAGTCAGTTAAGCATCCAACTTCAGCTCAGGTCATGATCTCACAGTTCATGAGTTCAAGCCCTGTGTCGGGCTCTGTGCTGACAGCTCAAAGCCTAGAGCCTGCTTCAGATTCTCTGTCTCTGTCTCTCTGTTTCTCTCTGTCTCTCTCTCTCTCTCTGCCCTTCCCCTGCTTGCACTCTCTCAAAATAAATAAATAAATAAACTTTGTAAAAATGGGCAAAAGATTTTAATCAACATTTCTCCAAAGAAGATATACAAATAGCCAATAAGTACATAAGTAGATGTTTGACATCATTAGTTATCAGGGAAATGCAAATTAAAACCATAATAAAATACAACTTTACAACCAATAGGATGCCTTTATTCAAAAATACAGACAATAACAAGTGTTGGTGAGGATGTGGAGAAATGAGAACCCACATATGTTACTGATGGGAATGTAAAAGGGAAAAGTTTGGCAATTCTGAAGAAGTTGAACATAGGATTATCAGATGACCTGGCAATTCCACTTCAAGTTATATTCCCAGGAGAAATTTTAAAATATGTCTACATAAAAATTTGTACATGAATATTCATAATGGCATTATTCATTAGCCAAAAAAGTAGAAACAACCCAAATGTTCCTCGACTAATAAATGGATAAACAAAATATGGCATATCCATACAGTGATTATTCACTCATTAAAAGGAATGAAGCACTGATTCATGCTCAACATGGATGAACCTGGAAAATAGCATGCTAAGGGAGAGAAGCCAGACCCAAAGGGTCACATACTGTATGATCCCACTAATTCCAAACATCCAGAATAGACGAATCCAGAGACACAGATAATTAGATACTGGCGATGGCTGCACAACTCTGTGAATATACTAAACATCACTGAATTGTACACTTACAGGGATGAATATTAAGGCATGTGAATTATATCTCAATAAAGAAATAAAGAAAATATTTGGGGCTCAACCCCAAAGTTTTCCCAGAACCTGAGGAAAAGACAAAGGTTAAAGAAAAGGCCATGGAGTTTTCTGATGCCCTAAAAAGCAGATCAAATATAATAGTTACCTCTTGAAGATATAAATAAAATTCCAAGGAGTTATGTTTTAGATTTGTGGCCTCTAGAAACAAAAGGATTGAGTTTGTAACTACCTTGATTCTGATTATCAAAGTAATGCTTGGTTGTTTTAGAGGTTTTAAAGATAGAAAAACATAGATAAGAAAATTATGAACTTCCCTGTTTTTGTTCTCTCTCCATCCTCCCCAAAAGGCTGGTGGTGGGAAGTAGGGGTGGTCATTGCCTTCCACATGCAAAGCCCACCCTGTGGAAGACCTTGCATCTGGACCCTCCAGCTCCACAGAAGCCACCTGAACCTAAGTATCAAGCCAGTGCCATCAGCTCTTCCCTAACACACAGATCTGGTAAGAGCACCATAACTTTCAAGTGCTCCAGCTGCCCCAACGTTCACTCCTATTTCAGTCCTGGATTTTGAGTGCAAATAGTGTTTCCCTTAATTGAAGGAAAGAACCCACGGCACCTAAAAAGGTGGTAAGATATGAGGAGAAGAGAGGTAGAAGAGAAACCCAACTTCCGTCGAAACCACAATCCTCAGTCAATAAAACAACCCATGGCCCTCAAATTAAGATTCTCATGAGGAGAGCCTGGGTAGCTCAGCGGGTTAGGCGTCAGACTCTTGACTTCAGCTCTGGTCCCCATCACACAGTTGTGAGATAGAGCCCTGCATCAGGATTCTTTCTCTCTTCCTCTTTTTCTGCCCCCCTCCCACTCTCTCTTTCTCAAAATAAACAAGCCTAAAAAAATAAATAAAACCAAATAAAATAAAATTTCCCATGAATAGTATACCAGCATTTCCCTCTGGAGTACTGAATGAGGTTCAAAGTCACACTTCCCCACCCTATTGTCTAGAGTGATCTGGAGCATTCAATGCCCTCATTAGGCATCAAGAGGGGTGTTATTCCCACTAGAACATTATTTGAATGAGAATACATTGAAAGAAATTTAAAAAAAAAGTTTACAACATACAGACTCCAGTTCAAATTTTATTTGCATACAAAAATATATTATACTGGGAAAAGCATATTACTGTTTCCAACTATATATAATTAATTACAAATATTTCCATAAATGCACTTTAAATTACAGGAAAGCTATGTTTTGAGAGAAAATACAATATTAGCATGGGTCATCTGTTCTAATATGCTGCAAGCTGGTCAACAAAGTCAGTTTCACTCTCTAAATTGCCCAGAGATGATCAAAGGCTGGTTTCAGAACGAGTCTGAGAATGGCCTGCTGGTAGGTGAGTTCTCATCTCTGTCTGCTCTGGCAGCAAATTCCGTAGCTGAGTTTACCAGGGTCCTCGGAGCTTTCTGAATCTTCTCCCTCAGGATGAAAGGACCCAGAACTTCTCCTTGTTTCACATACCTGTTAAAAGGAGATAAATAAGGTTATCATGCACTCATAAGAGTTTCCAATTCCTAGGCTTAACCAGAGCTTAACACCGTCGCAGACAGGCATCAAAGCATCACACTTAATGGCAGGTTTCCCACGTAATGTATGTCTGATTAACTGGTACAACCGGGCGGCCAGCTGCAATTTCCATGAAGTAGGCAGGCTTGTTCCACGGGTCTCGTACAAATTGTGCTGTAATTACAATAATCTCTGTCAAAACAGGCGTGGGTCTTCTGATGTGGGATGGTATAGCAGGTAAGAGAACGGGCAAGAGAATGTAGAAAATACACAAGGACTTTCCACTTGAGATTTACGTCTGTCTGAAACAGTATGAGGAACAGGGTCATTTTTACATAACCAGCTTTGGATCTAATTTTTCAGGTTACACCTGGCTATTTAGCAGAGGATAGCATAAAACATTCCTTATGGAAAATCAACTCTTTCATTAAAAAAATTAAGACCCTAGGACAAAATTCTTCTGCTCTGTGACTGAATGAGACCCCCCCCCCCAAGAGTAGAGCTGCTGAAACTTTTATCCCAGAAGTCCTAGCTGATTCTTCTGGCTCCTGTAATCCTTTCCTCTTGAAACAGAGTGGGTAGATTGGTTCTCAGGGCCCCGTCTTCTGGACACCCCCCCGCCCCCATTGTAGTTATGGTCTGATATCTTCAGTTCCCAACATTTCTAGTCACATAAAGGGGTACCATTAGTGTAACTGCCAAATGGGACACAAAGTAGTGTGTACTTAATCCAGGTTTTTCACTAATTGGTGTGAGCCTTTGGCTATGGGGTCTCCCCAGGCCAATTCTTTCTTTTGGGATTCAACCCTTTAGAAGTCAGACCTCCCCAAATCCTTGGATCTAACCTGGGAACACTTCCTTGGCCCATGGGATGGAACCATCTGGCTTGTTAGCACATTGCTTTTGTAGTCAGTCGGCTCATTTCTCCTCCAAAAAGCCTGCCAGGACATAGTGATGGTAAAGCTCCAATCTTGCTCTAATAACTACTCTGCATTTTTCAAACAAAATGTCATTGTTTGCTGGTAACCTGTTCTCACTGTTTGGAAAGGCACACGGTCTACATTAATGCAAACTTGTCCTCAGAATTTCCTTCTGAGCCACTAGGGTCCTGTTTCTGAACCTAAAGAAGCCCAGTGATGTAACTTCCTGCCCCCAGGCAAGCTGGTAACTATTATGGCACTTTATCAGCGGTGTTGGTTGGTTTTCTGTTTGATTTTTTTCATATGAGGCGCATACTCACTCGCTAATGTTCTGTCAAGATCAGCAATAAAGTCTTCTAGCTCTTTCGTGTCTCCTAGTTTAGCTGAAAAACAAGAGTCGACCTTCAGTTTCCATATCAATGACAGCTCAAGAAGCCCTCTGTTCCCAGGATTATGCGACCCCATTTTGTATCTCTGGATCTTCAGAGACGTTATTTCAGACTGTCCTGTACCAACCCCAAGTGTCTGCTCCAATGTTTATTTACAGTCAACTCAGACACTGATTCTGAAGATTAACCTAGACGTCCCCTTCTTGTGTTTTTTCAGTTCATCATCCCCTGTGCCACCCTCACCCCAACAACCTAGAAGAATCATCTCTCTTCACTACCTTAAAAGTCTGAGGGGCAGGGGAGAGGAGAGGCTGGAAAGGAAGATGAAAAGTTTTTATTTTTTTTGACTCTGTAGGTTTTGAGTTATCAGTCAAAAATGTCCGGTAAGCATGGCACAGTGCAGAGTGGATACCCAGATTCAATACTCCCACTAAGCCTTGCCTTTGACACATTCTTGTTTGTGCCACCACCCCAGGGCAATACCACAGCCCTCGGTATGAAATGAAGGAGGAGCCACTGTTCTTTGTCAAAATGGTACAGAAAGGCAAACTGAGGCCTCCGGGTCTGGGACAGCCTCATCCCATCCAGCTGTCAGGACAAGGCAGCCAGTCCTTGTCTTGATTTTGTTCCCTCTGTATCCTGAGACATATACTCGTTCCTGTAGGGTTCGTCATTCATGCCTTGTCCGAAACGCGTGCCTGGATATTTGTATTAATTAACCCTTGCTGGCTGGCTACAAATGGCTCGTTGTTCTCAGCTTTTAAAGTCAATTTGCCACTAGGGCTTTTTCCTCCTTCTTTAATTCCTACCTCTTAAAGATCAGGTAGCAAATCTGGGCACATTTTCAGCCACTTCCTAGACTGCCCTGTCTCTCTGAATTCAATAGCTCTGTTTTGCAGAGAGCTGGACAACAGCAGAGTCCCTCGTGACTGTTCAACACTGCTATGTTGAGAGGAGAATTTAAAAATCACTCTTTTGAAAAAGAGGGAAATTCTGCCTTTAATGCCAAGAGTGAGAAAAGTAATAGAATCTTCATATTTCTTTTTAACCATGTTCCATTTTTATTGCATTCTGCAACTATTTTCAGCAAGTATAATGTTTCTTGAGGAGAAAAACTCCTTTTGTTTTCAAGAGGGCACTTGTCCAATGTAACAGAACATTCAGCTCTCTAGCTGGAGACACTTTACAAGTTCCAAAAAATAAGAAACTGCTCATGCATCTTTAAAAACTTTTTAGGTCTATTAATATCACAGTAGAGACAGGCTGGAGCTGCTATTTTAAATCATGTGAGATCATGGCTTGCCTCATGATGATGACCCCCTTGAATTGCTAAATTGGTAATCTGAAAGCATTGGTTACATAGTTAATGCAATAAAAAGGATCTCACTTTCTGCAAACCCTAACTGCTGAGTTTTCAATTCTCGAACCAACCAGTCTGAGAGAGCACTGTCATTTGGCATGGTCTTGATTACACCACGTGAGAGAAAGCAGCGCGTAAAGACAAGCGTTCTTTCTCCCTGCGGATCTGGTTCCTTGCCCCTCAATTACCTGATTTCATTTTTACACCGATCAGAATCCTGAGAAAGGACAGTTCCACCTCACACCATACGAAGATGTTAGTTTTATCTATTTATTTTGCACATTTGGGAAGGGTCGGGGGGTCAGGCGGAAGAGACAAGAGACCGGGAAGGGTGAGAGAAGAAGGAAACCAAAACCCTCATACCACCACTCACGAGCCTACCTTTCCGAGGAGGGACGGTGGGGGAGAGAAGAGCTGGAGCAGCGTCTGTTGGAGAATTCAGTTTTTCATCACTGAAGCTGAAGCTGTTCCTATAGAGCGAATCTGCACCTTTCAGGAAAGAAAATGTAACTCGTTCGAGATGGTCTTCAGCTCATCTCCCAAAGGAACAAAGTTGTAAAGAAAACAGGTTGATTTCCAGATTTTATAGTCATGCCCAAAAATGATTTGAGATAGGGGTGTGTGCCTGTGTGTGTGTGTGTGTGTGTGTGTGTGTGTCCAGTCAGGCACACTGAAGGCCTTGCTTCCCTAAAAAAAAGGAGAGTGTGACAGGATGATCACGACCAGACCAGCCTCCTTTGCAACACACAGGATCCCACTGCCCAGGTGTGTCTGAGAGCCGAGCCGATGCTTGGCTATTTTGGGGTGGGGGGCTGGTTCAGGATTTTAGACCTAAAGAATCATCTCTCCTGAAAAATGTCCCTTCTGCCCTCTGAACTCCCCGAAATACAAACATAAGGTTGGGTTCCATTACTTCAGAATCCTCCCTGACTGCTCAAGACTGTCTTTGGCCTGGTTTTCCTGAGAACCTACATTCTGAGGATAAGCTAGAGGGTCAGAGACAAATATTTCTTCTAGACGTTGTCAATTATAGACACTTGGAGTGATCCTGTGGCTTCTTCTATTGCCATACCCCAAAGACCAGAGCAAGAGCAAGAGCAAGGCAAGGTCCCAGAAGCAGAGTTGTGCTGGGAGTCAAGGGAACCAGCTCAGCTACTCAGATACTCGGGCGCCCTTGGGCAAGACAGCATCTCTGAGCCTCAGCTTAGCCATCAATAAAATGGGAAGGCTACATAATCCTTAAAGTTCCTTCCAGCTCTGAAGTTCTGAGACTCTACTTCTCTAAATCCTGCCAAAAATGAGGAAACCAGCCCACAGCCAGTTCAGCCATGTGGCCATGACACCAAAAGGGAGCTGGTGGCTGAGTTCCACCCCCTCAAAGGGCTCAAAGGCAGAGCAGCCAGCGGAAGCAGGATGTGGCCTGTGAGGTCACAAAGTAACAGTCTTCCTGGCTAAAACAAAACACAAAGCCAGGCACACTTGTAGCAGATATGACCTCTGGAAAGTGTCTTCAGGTGACGGAGGGCGGCTGAATCAAGAGGGCCTGGCCAGGACTCTATTCCTCTTTGGGATTCACTCACTTGAATCCAACGACCTCCAACTCAGGAGGAGGCAAAAACTTCTTTCTTTGGTCTCCATAACTCAAAGTAAACATGAATAAGTTATAAAAGATAAAAAGCGTTTTCCAAAGCAGAGGTTTCTCATCACACAATAATTCAGCTTCATCCCTAAAAGGCTACTGCAAGTTCTCAGACCCTACACCTGGCTCCCTTTCCTCCCACCCTCCTCTGACCAGGTGGCCCCAGTGCCATCTTATCTTCCTGACCTACGCATTATCTTGTCCACTTTTCCAGACATGCCCAACTCTCACGATCTTTTCTCCCCTCAGAGGTCCAGCCTAAGTCACCTAAAAGGACCACAGTCACTTTTCAGGGCTTTGGTGATGAACACCTACTGAGATCCAAAATACCAAACCCCACACATAATATTTCCCCAAAAAAATATTCCTCAGAACACTGGTCCTTGGGAAAGAAGAACCATGTATGTGATCAACTAAGTTTGAGAAACACTGAGCACCTTTGGAGACTCCTGCTGGGTCTTCCCGCTTCAATGTCCCTGAGAAGTCTTGTTTCTCCAGTTTAACTATGGGACACCTTTTTTGTGGCAGCCCATTAACATGTCTCAGGACACTTGCACAGGAACTCAAATGGGGAAGCCCTTCTGCTTACTTTCCTGGCTGAGCCCACCCCTAGAGCAGTCTGGATTTTCTCAAGGGAAAGCCTTTCCCTTACATACAGGAAAGCGGCCGTGTCCATGGCAGACCTACAGCAGGGCGTCACTGTTTGTCACCACGCAATAGGTAGGAGAATCGCCACAAATAGAACCTGAGAAACTTGTAGGGGAAAAGATGAGGTAAGACCCAGGGGCAGGGAAACCACAGAGAGCCCTGTGGAGGCTGGCTTCGTGCCCAAACCCCTGAGCCAGAAGGAAAGAACATGAGGCGTTTGGCACATTATCTTTGGCTCTGAGGACACCTGACAGCATCGCTCCCATCCCTGGTCCAGACCGCCGAACCCAGAGACTCGCTGGCCCAGGCTTCCGTGGCCACACCTCTGGTCTCTATCTCTCAGAAACACTTGGCCCTTGAGAGCCAGTTTCCCCAGCATACCTCACTCCACCCAGCCCTGCACCACTGGCCCTTGCCCTGACTTTGGACTTCATCCCTATTCTGCTCCAACTTTCAGCAGTTTTACATCCACATACAGCCATCCTTTGGGGGGAAGGGACACACGCACACACAGTTTGTTTACCTCACAGGCAAGTAGACCAAATGTCATTGAACTTTCGGGGAAGGAATGATCTAGACAGGAAAAAGGCCATTGCAAAATGGTAGGAAAAAAAGAATCCAGTGAGGATTCAGGAAAAACTCAGGTGGTTTGGAGACTCTGTAGAGAATGAGTCATGGTACTGGGATGTTGTCACTGTGTACCTCTTAGCCTTTACAGCCTGGTGCTAATATGCCTTTTTGATCCAAGTATTTTCTTCAAACTCAGAAAACATATAGACAAACTGGCTGTTACTTGCCTAATAAATTCAGTTGCAAATCAAACTTAACATAATCAGAAGTTCCTCTTACTGCTAATGAATGGGGGAATGCTACTCCCCCAATGAGGGAGAGAGAGAAAAAAAATTCTGGCTACAATATCTATCTATATATACGTGTGTATATATATAGGTATACCCCTATATAGATATATAGAGATAGATAGATAGATACACGCAAACACACACACACACACACACACACACACACACACGCATGTCAACTTAGCATACACTCACTTCCCCACTTCCCCTCTCCCCCACACCTCCTAACCAACCACACACACAAGTTCACACAGCAGCTCATTGCCACACCTTGATTCCTCTCTCTTTCCATGAGTTTCTGTGCACAATCTGAGCCAGACCTAACTCCAGGCTCCAAAATATTCAACCATCAACAGGAAGCGAACCCTCAGCATCCTGAAGCCAAACCTGCCCACAGTTCAGTCCCACCCTGTGGTAATATTCTACATACGTCATTCATGAAAAAGATGAAAAAAAGTAACTTCAGGAAGCCCAAAGCTACCACAAGGCCCAGGAGAAGCTGCCACAGTAGAGCCGTATGGGATAAGGGGCCATATGACAACCACATGGCCCTGTGCAAATCACTTCACCTCTGAGCCTTAGTCTCTTCCTTAGCAAAAGGTAAATAGTAAGCTAGCCACTCCGTGTATGATATGTATGATTTTCATGATTTTTTTAATTAATTATTTTAATGTTTATTTTTGAGAGAGAGAGAGAGATATGTGAGCAGGGGGGAGGGGCAGAGAGAAGGGGAGACACGGAATCTGAAGCGGGCTCCAGGCTCTGAGCCGTCAGCACAGAGCCCAAGGCGGGGCTGGATCTCATGGACTGAGAGATCATGACCTGAACTGAAGTCAGACACTTAACCGACTGAGCCACCCAGGCGCCCCTGGTTTCATGATTTTATTCTAAAGTTCCTAGTTAAATGGAGGATAACCTGTCCAGGAAAGCAAAGGGCCCCACAGCGAATGGTTAACAAGCAAGATTCTGAGCCTGGGCTTCCTCCTCTTCTTTAGATAGCAGCAAAATTCTCAAGATTATTATTCTGAGGCACCCTCGAATAAACTTCCCTAAAACAAACCACCAACACAGAAGTGCCCCCAAGCTCTAGACATCACTTTCCTTTATCCCATAAAATTTCACTCCATGGACTTTTATTAAGCAGCCTCAATGAACAAGACTTCACGGTAGGCATTGGGGTAGATTAAAAGGTAAGTAAAGCCTAATTTCCTGTTCTTTTCATGCCTCTGGAACTCTATCCCTTGCAAAACAACAGCCTGTTAGTCTGATAAAATGATGGCAATGTGTTGCTGGCTGATAGCATATTAATGTATTATGGCCCCACCCCAATATCAGGTGGTGCCATTAAGAGGGGATCAAGGACACAATCAGTGATGATTTGGGGAAGCTTAGCAGGTGATAAGACTACATTTCAGGGCTCCACAAAATCTACTTCAATCAGCTCTAAAGCCCCATCTCACAGGCATCTCAAAGGCCCATTAGAAATGTCCTTGGCCAGTCAACTTGGCGTGCGGAATCCAGGATCCTCAAACTTAGGTACCAAGTTCCCTAAGACACCATCAGAAGAAATGTAAGCATATTCAATATACAAAGATCTAACTTTAAGAGCACCAACAGGGTGCCTGGGTGGCTCAGTTGGTTAAGAGCACCAACGGAGTTTGAGAAACTCAGCTGTAAAAACAGAAGCTTGTTTATTTTTTTTTAAAAAAATTTTTTTTCAACGTTTATTTATTTTTGGGACAGAGAGAGACAGAGCATGAACGGGGGAGGGGCAGAGAGAGAGGGAGACACAGAATCGGAAACAGGCTCCAGGCTCTGAGCCATCAGCCCAGAGCCCGACGCGGGGCTCGAACTCACGGACCGCGAGATCGTGACCTGGCTGAAGTCGGACGCTTAACCGACTGCGCCACCCAGGCGCCCCCAGAAGCTTGTTTAAAAGGTAGTTGTGCTCTTTTGGTTTGGGGGTGGGGAGAAAGGTAATTTAGGGTTAGCACCAACATGTGCTACTCCAGAGGGAAGTAAAACCACAGACAGTAAACCTTGCCCAGAGCTCCTGTAAATATAGAACAATCCCACACGTTGAAGACAAGCAAACTATAGTAATTAACTGAGAAAAAGAAAGCCTTGGACCTCTTTCCCTTTTGCCACAGTGAATGGTGGTGGGGAGGGGTGAATCTCCTCCACAAAATCTAAATCCTGAAAGCCTCACTAAAAGTAGGATAGAGTAAGAAAGAGCCCTTTTCCCTTTCACCAATATTGTCCCAGCTTCCCTGACCGCTGGGTCCCTTTGGACACCTCTCGAGGTCTCCGTCCGAGTGAGACCTGTCACCCATCTGGAATTCCTAACAGTGCCAGGGCAGCCCGAGAGCTCCTAACTTCTCGTTCTCTCAAGGCTTGAACAAGTTCAGATTCCAGTCTCTGGATCTCCTATGCCAAATCAGCCAATATGCTACCTGTCATGCTAACACCCACTGTCCACAAGGTACCTTCTCCCAGGGCCAAGCTGGAGCAGACTAGGAAAAGATATACAAATGTTCTGGTCTTGCACCTGCTGAAAGAAGCCAGTTCCTCATTCCCTAAAACGGCTCCACAACATCACAATATCTCTTGCAGTCCCAGCAGCCTTCAGACCCTTCCTGTTAAGTAGCAAAACACTTCCTCTCTTCAAAGGAAAAAAGGTAAGTGAAATCCCAATACAGCAGAGATAGGAGTTCATACCACCATTTAAAGTTCAAGGTAATACTGTAAACTTCATATAAAATCATTCAGTGGAAACATAAATTAACACATTGGCTAAAACTTGGTAATTAAAGGGGCGCCTGGGTGGCTCAGTCAGTTGGGCATTAGTCTGACTTCAGCCCAGGTCATGATCTCAAGGTTCACGAGTTCAAGCCTGCATCAGGTTCTGTGCTGACAGCTTGGAGCCTGGAGCCTGCTTCGGATTCTTTGTCTCCCTCTCTCTCTGCCCTTTCCCCACTTGTGTTCTGTCTGTCTCTTCCTCTCAAAAATGAATAAACATTAAAAAATTTTAGAAAACCAGTAATTATGAGTTAAAATTTCATTAGACATATTTGAGAAATCATGGTATGCCTTTACAATTTTGAAAATACTGAAAACAATATATTTTTTTAAAAGTTAAAACCAAAGAAGTTTACAACCCCTAAAATCCCTCTAAGGGTCAAGTTTGAACAACACTGCCCTTCCACTGCTGATGTTAAAACTGCTCCCACTAAAGTGTCTGAGATCTCACCTGCTGGACCGAAGTCTAGGGGAAAGGAACCAGCCTGTTTTGATCAACCCCTATTTGAATGCCGTCCTTAATGTGGAGTTATCTTGCAATTTTCATTTTGGTCCTCTTCACATCTTTGGAGGACCTCCCCCTCCCACCCCATCAGTAGGAACAGGAAGGAATATTTCTTTTCTTTCTTTCTTTCTTTCTTTCTTTCTTTCTTTCTTTCTTTTCTTTTCTTTTCTTTTCTTTTTTTCTTTTCTTTTTTGAGAAAGAGAGTGTGTGTACAGGGCAGGAGGTGAGGAGCTGAGAGAGAGAGAGGGGGAGAGAGAGAGAATCCCAAGCAGCCTCTATGCCCAGTTGGATCTGACAGAAGGTGTGATCTCACAACCATGAGATTATGACCTGAGCCACGATCAAGAGTCAGACATTTAACCAACCGAGCCACCCAGATGCCCAGGAAAGGTGTATTCCTTTTTAAATGTCCATTCTTCTCTCCTAACTTGCTTCTTTGGGTGGAGGGAATATCTATGTTTCTCCTTTGTATGCAAGCAACCCTCATTTTTTTTTTTTCTAATGAGAAAAGGAAGGGTTCTTCAAAAAACAGAACTGCTACTTTGAGCTATCTTGGAAGGTGGATCTTCTGAGTGATAGAGCAGTAAGTTGCAGGCAGAGTGAGAATCAAGGTACTGCTGGTTTGTAGCTCATATGTAACATTTGCATGCAAGACACTGGCTCAAATACATCTGATCTATGTGATAGAGCCTGGTGTATGCATTTTAATGTCTTCTTGAGAGCATGAAACAGTGATTTTTTTCTTCCTCATCATGAGCTTATGGATGTTTCTAACAGTACTACTAAATAACATCCTTTCCATTTTACAGGTGTAGAAACCAAGACCCTCTGGACCCAGCCTGATGATGACTGCCTTGAAGAGACACAACCACTGTTGATAAACAGGTGATGATTTGGGTCCAATGGGACTTCAGGTCTATTCCTGAGGACCTGGTTCCCATTCCAGCCAACCATCCATGGTGACAGAGCAAGGTCTTAGAGACAGCTCACGCGGTTCTGCTGTCTTATCAGAAACATGAAGATAACAGTGCCTATCTTATAGGACTGTGGTAGAGGTCATATGAGATAACACAGTTAAAGCCCAACAAAGAAATCACTACTGATAAGAGCTAATAAATAATAACAATAATCATAGTAAGGTCTTGGTAAAACTGAGCTGCTCTTATTATCATTATCCTGGTATGTCTCCCTTTTGGCGGCCTAAATCTCAGTAGGATCTACTTCTCTCAAACACTCTCTTCCTCAGAAAAGCATTGAACAGACAAATACGCATAATAAATGTCTGTGCTCCGTACTTGGTGGCAGTTAAGATACACACAGTATGCTTCCTTAAGAAATTACTGTTTAGATATACACCGATTCTGCCAAGACTATTTCTAACCAGTCTTATGGGGGATAAGCTACACATTCATAAAAAAGACAAATATCATCTGAGCCTTCTTTATACCCTCCCCATTACTCTCTAGCCACCAAACTAAGGGTTAGCTGAGCAGTTAGCAACAAGGGCAGAAAGCACAATGCATGCACGCACATACACCCCAAGAGAAACTATAGATTATTCCAAATTTCTCCCCCAAAACCATTAAGGATGGGTTTCTGAGTACCCTCTCTTTGAGGCCCCTGAAAACAGGCCCCAGATCTGAAACCCTACCCAGAGGGAGCTGCAATCACCCAGGATGGGCAAGTTCAGACCACATCCTAGCCAAATGAGGCCCTGTGTCAGAAAGGACTTGTTCTTTGCAATAGTGCAGTACTGGACAGTCTGTCCCAGCTTTCTTTCTTGTGGGAGAGAGAATTTGCACTTGATGAATAACTTGCTCCATGACCCAGCAAAAGAAGACATATTTAAGTTTGGCCACAGCTTTGAGACAAATTTCAGAAGTTTTGAGATTTCTCTTTGAAATTGAAAACAAGTGGTCTGGTCATTAGCAATCAAGTCCAAAAATGCAAAACAGAATATTAGCAGCACACTATTCCATCCCTGTTCACTTCAAAAGCTTCAATTAAATCTAACCCTTGGGCAGGACTGCCAAGGAAAGTCATGATGGACCTCAGGTTTCTGACTCAAACCCTGAACAGGGTGTCAAGCACTTTTATTCATTCTCAGGAGGACAGCTCACGGTGGGGTCTGGGACTCTATCTTTGCTCTGGAACAAGGAAGAGCTTCAGATTTCAAAAGAAGAGAATCACAAGGAAAGGTCCTTGGGTCATTGCTTTCACTTCCAGAGTCAAGGGCAGCAAAGGGAGTGACATTCGTGCTGGTAACCCATCTAGGGAATGAAGTCTCAAGAATAAGTCAGAAAAATTTAAATTCGCTTTGAAAAATAGTAAGTCTTCCAGAATTTGAAAACCAACAATTTGAAAAGTCACCAAATTTGCTGATACCTAAACAGATATCCATAATCCTTAAAGACCACTTGTTCTCGAATTAAAAAACAAACAAAAACAAAAACAAAAAACAAAAAACAAAAAACAAATTGTCTCGCTACTTGCAAGGTTGTTTAGGACAAAGAGACCCTGCGGTAGTCTCCCTTCTGAGAAAAGCCGCCAGGAAGCACCTCTGTGCCCATCTGCTCTCTGGCTCCTTCTCCAGCCTGAGTGGGGGCGGGGGGAGCTGTGGAAGCCAGCGGTCCCGGCGGTGGACCTGCCTAAAGGAAGAAGAACACTTCCGAAAATACTCGAGCCCCGCCGTGCCAAGGAGTCTTTCAAAAACCGCATGCAGGGCACCAGCCGGTCTGGGAGCTCGGAGCCAGAAGAAAACGCAAGAAGTTATTTCAAAAATCCCAAGAACAGCGGCTTATGAAACTTCTGGTTTCACAAATTTTTCGGTATTGTGCCCTCCCATGTCTCCCTCCACCCCCATTCCTGTGGCACTTTCTACACATACTCTGAAAAACATGCAGAGAGAGAAAAGGGCAAAGGAAGGAAGGGGAGGTAACGGTGGGAAGGCCTGGCTTGGGTCCCGGGAGCCCGGTCTGGCTGAGTCGGGGCAGCTGCTTAAACCCTCCGGCCTCAGGACACCTGCAGGCAGCAGGTAGACCCGCGTGCCTCCAACAGCCTTCGCGTGACAACCCGGGGGTTTTGCCTGTCTGCGGGCGTCCTAGGGACTGCGCGGAGCCTTAGGGCTCGCTTGGCTGGACTCCCCACCCCTCGGCTTCCAGAGAAGCAGACTGAGACTCGAGCCCCTAGGACCCCTGGTTGGGAGTTCCCGGCGCTCCCGCGCCTTCCCCGGTGGGGCCACACTTACTGTCGGAGTCGCTGAAGCCGCTGCTGTCGCTCACGCTGGCGCTGCTCCGCCGCTTCATGCGCTCCAGGTGCTCCTCGTAGTGGAAGTGGCGCTCGTGGAAGGGCGACGCGAAGTCGGCCAGCACCGCGTCAAACTCGCACAGCGCATCCGTCAGGTCCCCGGCGGCCGCCGAGTCCAAGGCCGGGGCTGAGGACAGGGATGACGTACTCAGGTGCCGGGGCGGGACGGCTATCCCGTCCCCAGGCCTGGAGGGGGCCGCCACCATTCCCCAAGATAACTAACATTCAGCGCGCGCCTGCCGAGTGACAGCCACGCTGTCACTGCCCGTTGCTTATCTTTTCATACTCTCCACCAGCCCCTGAGGCGGTGGTATGAATCGTGCCCATTTTAGAGATGGGGAAACTGAGCCTCCGCTGAGTGAAGCTGCAGACCAAAGGTCACCCAGCTAATCCACGCGGCCGAACTCTTTCCCACGCGCTGTAGGGTACTTGTGCCCACGCTCGTCCCTCGGGGGCGCGTGCGAACGGGTAAGCGGTAGCAAGACGGGGTCAGGCTGCGCCCGTTAAGTGGCCCCAGCCCGGCGCGGGGAAGGCAGCTGAACCCGCCAGGGGCAGGGTCCCGCAGGGGAGGATGGGGACCCGCGGGTAAAGGGACGCCCCCGGATCCCCCGCCTTTAGCCCCCCACCGCGCCCGCGGGGCCAGGGCTTTCAGGGTCCCGCACTCACCTGCGGCCGCGGCCGCCGCGGGGCTGCTCTGCGCTGCGGGCGGCTTCATGGGCAGGCTCGGCCCCGCGCGCGCGGCGGAGGGTCCTAGGAGGTGCTGGGCTCGGAAACGGTGCAGCCGCTCGCGCCCACGCCGGGGCTGCTCCGGGCTGGCTCTCGCGCTCCGCGCTCCCGCTCTGCCGGCCGCCCTCGCCCGGCCGCGCTCCCGCCGCGCCGCCTGCACCACGGTGCGCACGCCCGCTCTTTCTCCCACCGCCGCCACCCTCCCGCTCTGCCGTCTTATAGCCGCGGGCGGAGGCGGGCCGGGGCGGGGCCGCGAGGTCTGTCCCAGCCGCCACGCGGGGACGCCCCTGTCCCCAGGCGCCGCCCTCGCCACGCGCCCGCCCGGGAACCGCAGTGACGGTGAGTCGCCGGAGCCCGGGTTACAGCCCCAAATATTTACTCGCCGCCTCGCCCGCGCGCCCTGACAACCCCAGTCGCCGAAGTATCTCTGTCGCCACCGGAGCCCCAAAGAGTTTACGGCTGGGCTGGAGCTCCCCGGCTTCCTGCCGCGCGCCCTTAACCTGGAGCCTTAGTTTCCTCAGCTGTGAAATGGGAAGTGCCCAGCCTCTAGCGTTTGCTGCGAAGAATACAGTAGCCCTAGGAGGCCCAGACGGGTGGCGGAGACGCAGAGGGAGGCTCCCGTGTCCCCACCGCATTTCCCCAGGGGACTTACTGATTGTAGGCAGACTGGAGAGAGTAGGGGACGAGAAGGGACCTAAGTCGTGGAGTCCACGCGGTTACAAACCTTAATTGCTCCCATCCCGGAGCCCGGAGTTTGACCTCAGTCCTGGGCTTTCACGCCAGCCCCGACTTTATTCAGGAAGAGTTTTTTCAGGGGAAGAAATGACTGCGTAAATGCGGCGCATACCCAGCGCCTTTCAGTGTCCAGACCAATGGGACTGCCCAGCCGCCTGGCGGGGGAACAGTCGTGACCTTGAATAACTCTCCTTGCACTGCCCCTTGCGGCAGCCACTAGTCACAGGTGACTATGTAAATATATAACAGCTGAAATAGAATACAATGAAAAACTCAGTCCCCAGGGCTCACCAGACACCTATCAAGTGCTCAACACCCATCATCTCAGAAAGTTCTATTGGACAACGCTGCCAGCGTCTCTGACCCACAAAACTGACCTCAGAGGGAAGAGAGGCCTCTTCTTACCCCCCTTTCCCCGTTATGAAGAGCCTCCTAGGTCAGGTCCTGGCATTCCCCATTTCCAGCCCCTACAGCGACCCTGAGAAGTGGAATTAATGCTTGTTTCACCGGTGAGGAAAGGGAGGCACCAGAGGTCAAGCAGGTTGCCACTCAGTGACAGAAAGGCAGGTCTGTCTGGTTTTGGAGCCACTTTGGGCTTTACCACACCCTCCCTTCCTCCACAGTGTAAGGTGAAGAGCTGAGCCCATAGGAGAAAGAGGCTCCAAAGAAGGAAGCAGATAACCCAGGTCCTTGAAGCTGCAGGGCAAGGCATATGCATCTTTCATTTTACCTCTTTTTCTTATTTTTCCCACCTCCTTAAATTCTTTGTTCCTCTCTTTTCCTTCCTCTTGACTTGCCATGCACCCAATATGGGTGATGCCCTGGGCTAAATGGAGCAGCAACCAATCTGGAAGCTGAGGCCACGGAGCTTTCCTCCAAATACCATTCTGCCTTCTTTGGGGGGGGCTGGGGTGCAGGGAGGCTGGCGCTCTAGTCCAGCTCATGCGTGATGGCTCAGGGTCCCTGTCAGCTCAAGAATCAGCCACACTGACCTTCAAAAGAGCCTACAAAACACCCCACTTTTTAGCAGCCACACCAATTTCCTGTGAGAGTGACCATGAAGATAACCTTGTCTCCACTAACACAGGCTGGTTGGTTGTTGTCAACTCACCCCCGTGTTGGGGAGATGGCTGGGCAGAGGGCCCCTCTAGGATGGGTATCACTTTGGCTATGGAGAACTATTGCTCTCTCTCTTTCCTGATTGTAAATTTTAACATAAAGAAAATATAGAGAATTAAGTAATAGCACTCTATACCCACCACTGAGAATTAACACATGTTAACTAACATATTGTTATTTTTGCCTTGGATTTTTTTGTATGTGTGTGTCAAAACTGACATACAGTCAAGTGCACAAATCTTGAGTGTATAGTTGATAAAGTTTCCCTATGTATACACGTGTGTGATTACCAACCGGATCAAGATACAGTGTTTTGTCAGCACCCCAGAAGGGTCCCTATGCTATTTTCTAGTCAATAGCACTCCGTTAGTAAACCCCTATGGTAACTCCTATTCTGAATTCTGTCACCAGAAATGAGTTTTGCTAATTGTGAAACTCCTTAAAATCACACCGTATGTGTTCTTTTATATCTGGCTTCTTTCACTTAACATAACGTCCTTGAGATCCATCCATATTGTTGCAGTATTAAGCCGTTGTCCTGCTGGTGGGCAACTTGCATTGTTATTTTGCTGTTGTTGCTCCTGTAAGTGGCTGTACAATAAGTATTCTTGGGCCTCCTTGTGTACATGATGAAGAGTCTCTAGGATGTATATCTAGAAGTGGAATAACTTAGTTGGTTTGATTATCTCTAGTCATCCGCTAACATAAACAAAGGTGCTATGAACAGCCTTGCAGATTTCTTTTGGGGCCCATCCTCACTTCTCTTGAGCTTATACCTCAGAGTGGAATTTCAGAATCACAGGATAGGCATATATTTAGCTTTCAAAGATACTGGGAAACAGTTTCCAAACCAACAGTGATTGAATGAATCTACACTCCCCACAATGTGTGAGAATTCCAGTTGCTTCATATTTGTGTCAACATACGATATTGTTAGACTTGTTAATTTCAGACATTCTAGTGACTGTGTTGTGGTACCTGACTGTGGTTCTTCCTCTCTACCTCCTCCCCCTCACCCTTTTCCTCCTCTTCCTCCTTCCCCCTCCTCCCACCCTCCTCCCCCTCTTCCTCCTTCTCCTCCTCCACCTCCTCTTTCTCCTCCTCTTCCTTCTTCCTCTTCTTCCTGTGGCTTTAATTTACACTTTACTAATAAGTAATTAAATTGACCACTTTTTCATATGCTTCAACTACATTTAATAAGAGAAATATAACAATATAGGTAAGGTCGCTATCCCCTTGGTTGTCCTTCACAGCCCTATCCCCTTCCCTCTCCAGAGACAACCACTACCATGAGCTCAGTAAGTACCCTCCCAGTCCATGTTTTTTTTTTTTTTTTTTTTTAAATGTTTATTTATTTTGGAGACAGAGAGAGACAGAGCATGAACGGGGGAGGGGCAGAGAGAGAGGGAGACACAGAATCGGAAGCAGGCTCCAGGCTCTGAGCCATCAGCCCAGAGCCCGACGCGGGGCTCGAACTCACGGACCGCGAGATCGTGACCTGAGCTGAAGTCGGACGCTTAACCGACTGAGCCACCCAGGCGCCCCTCCCAGTCCATGTTTTTATAGTGAAACTAAATTTACTTATATGTTTACAGAAAAAAATGCATAGTATTGCTTTATGTGTTTTAAAATTTACATAACTACTTTAATGCTGCAACATGTTTGTTTTCACTCAACATTGTTTTCACATATGTTGATACACACAGATCTAGTTTCTCCACTGAATCTGCCAAATAGAATTCCATTGAATGACTGCAGAACAGTTTGTATATCCAGTCTCCAGTTGATGGACATTTGCATTGTTTCCAATCTTTCTCTGTCACAAACAATGCTTCAGTTAACATGCTCTTACCTATCTCTTATTGCTTACATGAGTCCACCTCTGTTTTTTCCTTCTGTAGAACCAGACAAAAGACAAAGGTTAAACCTCTAGTCCACTGAGCCTTCTGGCTTGTTCCATTTTCTATTCCAGGGGCTCCCACGGTTCCAGCCACATGGCCATATTGACAGAGATGATAAGTGACCTCACTGTTCAACTGTGATCTTATCCCTTCCTGAGGAGAGGTGGGGGATATGTATTTCACCAGCCCTGAACCTAAATTAACCATACAGCCTTACACTAGGATTAACACACTTTTCTGGTTCCAGAAGGCCATTTGGTCACACAGGTCTCCTTCTAGAAAAAGACTTGAGGCAGCTTTTTGTAAAGCAATCACAACTGGATGTCCCGTCCAAATCCCCATAGTAATGTGCCAAAACGAACATGATGTGATGAAGGTTAAGGGTCTTGAGGTGAAGAGATAACTCACACAAATCCTTAAAAGCAGAGAACCCTTCCTGGCTATAGTCAGAAGGAGATGTGACTAAGAAAGAATGATCAGAGATACTGACTTTGAAGATGGAGGAAGGGACAACAAGCCAGGAGTATGGATGGTCTCTGGAGGAAAGAGACTCTCTCCTAGAGACTCCACAAAGGAGCACAGCTCCACCAATACCTTGACTGTGGCCCACTGAGAATACTTACCAGATTCCTAATGCACAAACCTGTAAGATAATACATTTCTATGGTCTTCAACAGCTAAGTTTGTGGTAATCAGTTACAGCAGCAATAAGAAAGAATCTTCTCTGATTTTCTTTTTTTTGAGAGTTGATTCCAGCTTACATTTTTTAAATTCCTTCAAACGAATATTGTCCTACTGTTTTTGTTGGTTTGTTTTTGTGTTTGTGTTTTTACTCATAATCTTTCTATCTCTGCCAATCTGTCTGTGCTCTGTGGCTGTCCTGTGGCCCTCTATTTATTTGTGCTGCCTTTTCTCTTCTGCTTGGTGTATATCTCTCCAGTTTGTTTTCTTTTTTTAAACATTTTTTTTTCCAACGTTTATTTATTTTTGGGACAGAGAGAGACAGAGCATGAACGGAGGAGGGGCAGAGAGAGAGGGAGACACAGAATCGGAAACAGGCTCCAGGCTCTGAGCCATCAGCCCAGAGCCCGACGCGGGGCTCAAACTCACAGACCGCGAGATCGTGACCTGGCTGAAGTCGGACGCTTAACCGACTGCGCCACCCAGGCACCCCTCCAGTTTGTTTTCTTTAGGCATACATTGGTGCATATGCTTTAAATAGAATCATGCCTTATATGCTGT